ATAATTATTGTTGTTGTCAGAAAAATCATTGTCATTAGACATTATATGTAAAGAATTACTTCAAAAACGAATTAAACACTTTCTTACAAATATTTTAATTGTAGTAAAAATATTATTTATTCTATTTATAAACAGACAGATAATCTCATCTATCCAAATGTTTCTAAACTTAATAGTAAAAATAAATAAATAATTTGTTTGACTATAATGTTAAGACTATTTCTTATTTATTTTATTTAAAATCGTTACATTTATCATGATTAAAATTTAATTGGTTATTTATGTAAATCAGATCGACAAACCGCGGTTCAACCACGGTTGAGTCAGCTGTTTAACATCCCTAATTGTAGTAAGTCATAAAAAATTTGCCCATTACGGGGTTTATTCGACCAAACCTGGGTATTATTTAATCAAACTTTGCCTGTAATGATATGTATCTATATTTTTTGTTATAAAGGTTTAGTTACTATATACTTTTAAACTTTATTTTGACCTATGTCTTTTTATATAGAATTTATTACTACTACGGGTCATTCTGTTTTGTCAACAGAAAGCTATTTATCTAGTGTAACTCTGATAAAATTACTGAAACAGTGCTTTGACTAATTTCAAAATCTTTAGTTAAGCTAGAATCATTACGTAGTTCTTTTTTTTTTGAAGGTTGAATTCATTTTTAAGACAAAAAGCATTTAATCATTCAAAAATCATTCAAAAAGTTATTTATTAAAATTACAATAAGGTTACTTCCATTCATTGTCTAATAACTAATTTATTGATTATTTAGAAATTATCAGTGATTTTCCCATTATACTGACATGTCATTATAACGGAACAAACGCTATAAAAATTAGTAACAGCTTGTTATAATGACAATCTTTATTATATTGTAATATCATGACATTCCGTTATTAATCTTTTTTATGTATTTTTTTTATAAATGAATTTTTTTTTTATGCATGATAAAATTTCTTTTAATAGTAAATTTCATCAAAAAAAACAATAAAGTTTTTAATTAATTCGTGTGAATCTCTTGCCTAAATCCACTCGCTCTAACCTTCATTTTGCTTTTCTCTTATTTCATCTAATGAATCTAGTCATTTTTATTTCGCTCACTCATCTTGTATTTGATATATTTCCTTATAAAGAAAATTATGAAGCTAAAGGCAATAAATTAGAAATCGAAATTTTACAAACTATGCAAGATAATGATGTTAGAATTCCATAGATTTGTGAGTATTTTTTTTTTTGCTCGTTTGGATTTATCGAGTTATTATATACCTGAAAGTTGCGCTGCCACTAAAAATTTGGTAAATAAAGAACTAGAAGTGTTTCGTGGCCGCAATTCATGAAAGTTGCCAATTGGCCAATGCATGATAAACGGTCTATTGTGAACTTCCTTCTCCATAACAACAGAAATGCTGACCAAATTTTCATTCTCGGAGCTTGTGATATATTGATTAAAGAGTGCAGGAAGCTCTTCGTTGCCATAACAAAAGTTATGAACGTCCTTTTGATTTTTAATAAATTTCCATTACTTACTTTTTTGGGATGACCTTATTTAGGGATTTAAATAATACACAATTATAATGCAATGCAATGCAGGGTTGGCAATAGACTGGGTCAAAAAAAAATATTGTTTTTAATTCTTTACTAATGAGTTCTCAGGCGAGGCAAGTGGTATTAGACTTATTCGTATATAAATTTGTAAGCATTAGAAACAACCTGATTTTAAAATAGGGGTTTTCCAAATATTACTATATATCAACTATACGAGTTGAAAAAAGTCTCTCACGTATACTATTTGTTCTACCTATTCCTTGTAGAAGTTATATCACATTTTATGAAAATAATCAATTCATTATTGAGAATATATAGGAAAATCTTTTCATCAATAATTATATTTGAGTGACAATATTGTATCAAACAGTAGTTTATTTAGTGATAAAATATTAATTTTTATTTCGTCACTAGAAATTATAATATATCACGTGACTACATTCTACCATTAATATAATTTTGCCAATCAGAAAGACTTGTGTGACTATATTCCTTTTTTCCTTCTTTAAAAATAATAAAAACAAGTACAATGCCTACAGTAAATGCATATGCTTTAGCAACAGTTTTTTTTGTCGCTTCTTATTTTTTTAACTGGCATGCCTTATTATCAACGGATTGGTAAATATAATTTTATATGTGCGTTATGTTTTTCTAGAGGAAAAAAAACAAATAAATTTAATTTAAAACGTAGGTTGGTTTTGGACATACCACCATTTAATAGACGAATGAGTTATGGATTATTCCAGGTAATTGGCGAAAAATAATGGTTTAGTAAATAATATGCAAGGTCTATTTTTATTTTTAGAGAAATGATGAAATGTGTGTGTGTATATATATATTTCTTTTCAATAAATAAAGGTGTGTACAAATCTTTTGATCAATGAGTGTAGACCATTTCCATCAACAAGTTACAGAGATTGCGAAGAAAAATATTTTTGTGAAGAATGGATTCTATCATCTAGTCTTATGGTAGCAGCGTCAGCTATAGGAGGACTAACGCTGCTTTATTTAATGTTTGTATTAATTGGTGGTAGATATGCAAGGGAAACATCTTGGAGTAAAATTTCGGCATTATTATTCTTAACTGGTAAATTCTTTTTTTATTGCTTACTTATTATTGCCATCGATACTATTATACATTATAACAATTATTTAATCTAATTTAAATAAACAGGTCTATCACAATTAGCTACAGTTTTTTTGATATCTCATCTTCTTTACAATTCAAATAAATTTTACGTTGGATTTAAATATGGAATTGGATTTTCATTTGCTATCGTTTCTGCCTCTTTTAATATTTTAATTGGAGTAGTATTGCTAATGAATGGAATTTTATCACCTCCGGAATATAGATTTATTATTTAGAAAAGATAATATATATATATAATATTTATACATACCATAATAAAAGCAATGTATTATTATTAAAAAATCAAAAAAAAAATTGCGTATTAATTAATTACTGTAAAATTACTTTACAAACATCTTAATAATAAATGCTGTCTATGTTACGTAACTGTGACACATCGTGTAACAATTTTAAAAATTAATAGAAATTAAAGCTTTACTAAAATTGAAGTTAATAGAAAGACAGTATAAAAAAACTACATTAATTAGAAGATCAATTAGTTAAACCATTAATACTGATCATTATGGGTAGTAGCGTCGTCGCCTTCGTCGATATTGTCATCATGATTGATAAAGTAGACAACGTTATTATTCATAAGTTGACTGGACTGTTGGTAGTAATAGTCGATACGGATATTAGGAAATTTATGGGTCGGAATAAACTCGACAAGATTTGATGTCGAACTGAATTGGCCTAGGTCTTTTCATTGAAAAGGAAAAAAAAATTTCATATAATTACTTTTTTAAAAATTTAAAAAATCAATTTAAAATTGCCTCTACTGTTATGGTTGTTATCCCACTTACCATAATTTGATTGAACATCTTTAGAACATCTCCGACCCCTTTTCAAGCAATTTCTGCAGCTGGTATTTCTTCCTTCAGAACACTTTTTATGCGATATTCTGCAATTTGTACAAGCAACGTTATATGGCCCCCTTGGCTTTTTAATTTGTTTAATTCTGTTGTTTTTCATAATTAAAAATTAAAAATGCGGCTATAATTAATAACAATAAGATAAAGAATGTAAATTTTTGAAAAATATTTGTTTTTTTTTTGTGAGAAAAGTGGTTTTTTTATATAAATATTGCTTACTATTTGGTTGAAAATCTAAAATAATGTTTTCAATAAGAACTCAAGGCGACTATTACATCACATTGTTACCATTTGTTATTGATTTGGCAATAATTATATTATATATATCTTAATCAAGCTAAATAAGATAAAATAAAGACTGATTGATTAGCAAATAAAATTCTTTGGCCACTAAAAACTTTGATTTAAAGTTGATTTACAGTCAATGCGTATTTGTTGAAAATTTAATTCTGTACATTGTTATATATTCTAACTATATTTGACGTGTTTTTTGGAAATATCATACTTGATTAGGTAAGTAATTTATCTAACAAATAAATAAAGCTTTATTGAATGTGTACTTCCATTTGCGAGCAACTCTAATTATTAGTTAACACATAATTGGTTTGGCCGCTCGTTACGAAAGAAATTTGGGCCAGATCGTCAGTCAAATGGTGGTAATCACTATCATTTTCTCTCCGTGTAGCCTGGTCAGTTGGAATAACATCAGCCAAACAAACAAGCGAACTATTAAACCAGGGTTAAGGCGCAATTTTACTCTGAATTGATTTGACGGTTTTGCTTCATTCATTATATCTTTTTTGAATTGAATCATCGACAAAAATCACAAATACACCATTTTTTTCGGTGAAGTCAAAGCTGTTGTCATCACAGTAGATCTTGTTACATGTGTAAAGTCAACAATGTATGACTGCGCACAATAAGCTTTAAGATTTTAATTTATAGAACATATAATGTAAATAAATCACATGCCTGTATCGCGGGGTTCGCTATCTACAGCTGGCGTTCGGACTAGAAAGACTTCTTTATATAGTGATAGTACAATTAATTGTCGTCACATATCTACATGTTATATAATATCACTATATGTTAGTCTTGTCATAAACTGTATTTGAATACCTACTAATATAGTTATATAAAATTGAATTATTTAAAAGTTTACACGAAATAGATTGAAATGATATCTTTACATTATAAATATATGACTTTGTTTGTTGTAAAAGGCTTCAAGTTGCAATTCTATAAAACAAATAAATAAAAAAAAATTTTCTTGAGAAAAAAGAATCCATATAAACAATTTGAAGTAACAAAATCATTAGTTTCAGATATGGAAAATATTTGAAAGAGTTTAAGTTGCTTTATATTTATGGATTATGATACAAGCTTTATCCTCCAAAAATGGTTGTATGCAGTGTACGAATATTAGTAGTAAATCTCAATCTCATTTTATTTATTTTGTGCGTTTAATATATAATTTAATTCTATTATTTTATTGATTATAAACATTGTTTATTAAAAAAACATTCGTTGAACATTGTGTATTAATATTAATTTCAAAACAATTTAAAGTTACGAACTTGCTATTATTTACACGTTACACGTAATATATAAGTCTTTCGGGAATAAAAAGTCCGCTGCTAATACTGCATTGTTTTGAAATATATATATACGAGTTTTTTTTATTTTGAATCTGATAATACAATGATATAATTGGTGGAAAAATTGGGCCTGGAAAAGGAGAACGGGGTAACCAAATTTATAAGAATATATACCTCGCACAAGATTCACCATAAATATATTATTTTTCCCAATTTGGTTAATTATATAATGGTAATCATTGTTAAAAGTATATATGTAGTTGATGAAAAGCTCCAAAAATAGAATCTAAACGTCTTATTGGCTTATTTAAAATTATCAATTTTCCACCATAAAAAATCATTCACCAATACTTATTTGTTACATATTTTTTTATAGTTTGAAAAAAATCGGAAACATGCCGAAAACCTGATTCCAACCACTCACGGAGAAGGCGATTTTTTTCAAGATATATTTGTATTAATTGATGATATCAATTCTGTCTAAAATAAAATAGGTAGAAAATTCAATTTCGCCCGTTCATATTATGTTATCCTTTGTGTATATTCCATTTTGAAATTTTCATATTAAAATTATGTGAAACATTTATTACCAAAAATACTAAAATACTACTAATATAATAAACAAAAACTTTGTTTTTTGGGGGGAATAAAACACACATAATACACACATATATATTTTCGTCAAATAATTGTATTTATTGCATTTATTAATAGGAAAAATAATTAGAGCAACTCCAACGCTTGTTTTTGTTATGACTAAATCTAGATATCCGTCGTTTATTTATTTTGAGAGAGGAGGGTTATTCATTATCAAGTTCTATTTCATTGATTCAGAATGCATTCGAATATTTTTTGACATATTAATATCTTCAGCTGACAGTTTTTATTTTTGCCATATTGCGAGCCAGGAACATTTCTTTCGACCTTTTAATTCCATTTAAATTAATCCTTCCCTCCAAGCTTGCTTAATTTTTAATCACATATCCAGGTATCAGTTTTGCATATATAATAAATTTTTTGGATCATTATCATTTAGTAAAAGTAATCTATTCATTAATGATTCGATCTAATCTTTGCTTTATAGCTAATTTATTCCCAGAGGAGCCCAAATTACTTTCTTTAAGCTTGAAACTTACATAACTTCTGATGTTACATATAATTCCATCCTGGCTGGTTAAAGTTTTTTGGTCGATGGAAATTAAAATTGGTAAATCACATTTTCAAAAAAAAAAAAATCTTTTGAAATACGTATATATGTGCGCACGTGCGCAACACATACATATACGTTTTTTATATATTATATCAAGAAATATATATATACACGCATATAAATATTTATTTTGTTTTTTAATACATATGAATATGAAGGGCAATTTAGATACTCATCGTCGAAAACTTTATGATCTAACTGAACGAACGTGTAATAATATTATTGAACTTGATTCAAAGTCATTTATGAATTAGCAACAAAAGCAACACCATCACTCGCAACAGCAGCAGCAATAACAACAACAACAACAACAACAACAACAACAACAACAACAACAACAACAACAACAACAACAATTACTACTACTACAACTGCAACTACAACTACAACAACAACAACTACTACTACAATCCAACAACATCATCTTAAAAAAATTAATATTATGTATTGGCCTTTTTTGAAGTTCTGCCACCTTCATTCATGAATCCATGCGAGTCATGTCCAAATATTATCAAAAATCTTGCTGGTATGACATGATAATAATAATAAATGTAAAATTTGAACGTATATCATGCCCGCAAAATAACCAATTGTGACAAGGTAAAAAAATTTTATATTTATATTGTATAATAATAATATAAATTAACTTTTTATAAGGTTAACTTTTTAATCATCAAAAAGCCGTTAATAACAGGAACCTTAAAATCACAAATATCAATAAAAACATCGTGGGAGATGTCATCCAAAAGAGGAAAAAAATAATAGTAATTATTAAATAATATATTTTTAAAAAAGAAAGTATTTATATTTAAATTTAAATTTTTTTATACATACGTTTATATAAATTTTTTTATCTACATTTATGCATATTCTTAGATGCATGTTTTTTTACCTACATTCTTTTATGCATGTTCTTACTATATTTAATGTATATATAATTTTTATTTTAGGTGAAACACATGTCTACCATGTGGTGGGGTGTAAATGTCGGTCGATGCAAAGTTGACAGTCTTTTTTTTTTTAATGACAAACAATGAATATGTGTTACTGTTATTGTTTGTCATTGTTTTATTAAGTAAATCACATAGATTACATAAAGTTTGCAACAATTTCATAAGCAAATGATCGGCATATCTTTGTTATTAAGAATGGAAGTATAACAAACAATAATTGAGGTAAATTAATTATCTGTCATTGTTGTCATTGTGTACAATATGTCACGGGAAGTAACAAGATAAATTATATTGATTTTCTACTTTATTTTTAACATATTAGAGCTTCACTAACTGTCACAAAGAGAGATGATATTGCAGAGAAACCAAGATCTCAGTGCTTCATTTATATACCACGTGGAAAATAGGGTCACCTTGACAAGAAAAAAATTATAATACGACCAAAGCCTCGATTTCCTTGACAAATGGAGTGGTTCAAGTTGAATGAATTGTAGGAAAAGAATCAAGCGACATGGAAACTACGGGCCTGCTTGTGTATAGAATGCATTTCTGTCTTGTTGACACTAGGATTACACATCTCGAGTGCCGATGGAATACCTTTTTACTTAACATGTCAAACTTGTTAATTTATTTCTTTACGGATGAATCATCTCGTGATGAGCGTGTGTATAATTTCTGAATGTATGTTTTTGCAGAAAGCTATGCCAATTTAAAAGAACAAATAGTTACTACAAGAATAAAAATTATCTCTCCTTACTCACCATATCAGCTCTTACCCAAGTAACCTATCGGTAAGTTTAGAATATGGTTGGGTTGTGTGTATAAAGTTAATGAATTAGCAACATTTACCACTTTTTTGAATATTGAAAAAGATATAAAGAAGCTCCATTGGTACCTGTCACACTACTAAACCAACAGTGAAGATGACAATGGCCAGATTGACATTTGATACACCAAAAACGATTTAAATTACCCAATCCAATGATGCTCTATTGCCTTTCTTTAAATCTATTAAATGGGAAGTTAGAGACGCATGATGGGCAAAAACGTTGATGGTAATTAATTATTTAGATTATTATTATTATTGATATTTTAAATATCAACCTTATTAAATTTATCTGATTATTAGACACACATTGAAAATAGTCAATAAAAAAACTATTTATAAAATTTTTTTTTTTTAAAAAAAAATCCAGTTCCTTAATTTCAGATAACCTTTTCATTTTCATAAAATTATTTTTTAAAAAAACTTAATTTTCATAACTATTTAATTTTATAATGATGATAATAACAGCAAACTGGTTATTTTTATTGTTTTCAATAATTTTACAATGCTAATATGAAGAAAATTATATTTCTCAAAATCTTGAAGTATTAAACATAAGGGATGTTGATTATCGACAAAGGTGAGAACAAGAAAGCGAAGGGAGGAAGAAGAAAACACAATTAACGTATTAATGCTCAAATCTATTATAATAATTATCAGAACGCTAAAAATATTAAACCCGATAATTTTTACTTTTATGCTGTAGAATATGGGAACTGCCAACTGTTCTGATTTGCGTACTTTAGAGTTAACCCCTACAACCTTTTTAACAAAGTACGAAGCTGAATGAAAGGCCTGTAGTAAATGCTATTACTATGCTCCTAATATCTATCCCTATATATTATATTAGTTCTGACCGTGGTAGGGAAAAGATAAATGGAAAAGTGAATAGTGTGGACCGATGACGCTATCATGTGATCAATAATGACGTCAGATTTTCTGAATGGCTTACCTCCACACAATAGATAATGAGAAACTTAACACTTTCTTGACTCTCTCATCGCTTCGAAAGTTGGATAACTTTATTTTTTATGTCTCATTCTACTAATCATTGTTTCTTCCATCATATTATTGGATTATTATCGAATGTTTGATGCTCGCCAACATAACACAACGTATAGTGAAAAATAATAGAACAAATACTAATACAATAGTAGATAGATTGTATTCAAACTCGGTTGAGTTTTACGATAGTCAAATGCAAAACATTATAAATTATACAATACAAACAAATATTAAAATTACAATTGTTTGAATAATGATTATTTAATAGCAATATTTATTTCTGAATATTAATAGTAATAACAATAAATTTAAATTTATGTCCTTCAATTTCATTATAATTGTTTGATCTTTAAATGGTAATGTGAATCAATGCTTTTATCTGGATAACCAAAGCATCACTACGAATACTAGAATCATCAACGTAGTATCACCGTAAATTGCATCTTGATAATTATATCTGTTTCAGTATTAACTGGTTGGTTTCACTTATAACATTTACTGATTTTGAATCATTATCCGAAATGTCTGGAAGGGTGAGTTAGCTACAGTAATCTTTTGTTTTTCATTTTGCAATTTATAACAATTAAGCCCAGCAATAGAATGATGTAAAGTTATGTTCAACTTAAGTTCCTATAATAAATATAAATATATATATATTACAAATTAAAAAATCTCCCATTTAAAATATTAAAATTTACATTGTTATTTCGTAAATTTAGAATATGTGAGGTAATAGTTTATTGTTAGTGGAAAAAGTTACACATAAATGGTAGGGGACAAACCCTGTTTAAGCTTAATTTTACTTCGTAAAATTGAACTTATACCCGTACCACCCAGGGTTTAACTATTAACTATTATCAAGAATACTACTGATTATATTTTTTATTTTTAACCTCTAGAGTATAATGATTTTGATCGCTTTTTCAAACTCCGAACCGGTTTAAACTGAATAATAAAACCGATTTCAATTAGTAAATTTATAATCCAATTTGGGTTATTTGTTTATTGTTATAGAATTATTTGTTTCCCAAGCCGAAACTTGTTTATTCAAGAAAAAGTTATTTTACAACTATAGGAATTATATAATTCACACGCAAACGCAATTTTATTACAATGGAACCACCTACTTGCACTATTCTCATGAATATAATATAACAATAGTGTGCACAATCAAAGCTCGTTTCAATAAATCTTGTTTCAACTAATTATAGTTAAATTCGCATTACGATTTTTTTTGCAATGAGATTATAACGAATTTTAAATGCAATTTTCCACAGATGACTGTATAAGTTCTTTATTTTCCAAAAACAGTTATTTATACGTACAAAACTTGGTTCAATCAATTATTTGCTAAAACAAAAATCAAAGATCTTTTGGCGAAAAATTTTTTTAAAAACAACCAAATCTGGGGATAATTGCAAGAGTTTTTGTGAGAGTTGAGATAAAAATTTTATTCACCATTTTTAAAAAATTTTCCATAATATCAATCTGCCGGTGAAAAGAATACAATATCAAACCGGTCCGACCGGTTTTATTACTATATATATATATATGAAAAATTTGAACCGGTTTAACCAGTTTTGGCTCAATTGCGTCGAACCGGTTCCAAACCTATTTTAGTAATTATGTTAGAATTAAAAGATTGAAAAGGTTGGAAGGTGGTAATTGATGCGAAATGGCGTATATGACATTCTTCATTGTACATTTTCCAATAATTCGCTTATTTTAATGACATTTATAAGTTAATGCTGCATTTGTTTTCTATTACTATTATAATGTTTTGGTGTCAGCGGGGTCTCCGATGGAAATGACAGGGTATGCCACACGCATCTCTCACAAGAACATTCAAATATACATTCACACTAGCAACCTGGATTCCTAAAACACCAAATTGATTTCTAACTGGTCTACATATCATATATTATATGTAAGCATTCCACACACATCAACTCATTAATCTTCCATCAAAACTTCACAAACGCTAATCTACCCTCCTCTACTCATCACTATTTCGATATTTTCCTAGTCAAACACTGACGCTCCGCACTGCAGTAAAATCCAACTTTAAATGATTCGAATAGCCATAGTGACGAATGTTCAAAAAATTCTATTTACAGGCTCAAGCAAATACTCCCATTAGGCAGATTCATCGACAACCTGGGTCGGCATTCCTCAGCATCCAGCAATAATCAGTCAAACAAAAAATCATTCATCTAACATAGTATCATCATTATGTATGAACACTAAATAACTACATTTATAAATAATTTTACTGTTATATTCATAGTTGTCATGATGGTTCGAATGTAGTATTGGCAGAGTTGGTTTTTTATCTTTTACTTGGACATAAATTAATTATTATAAACCCTGGTATTATTAAATTGTTAGCATTAGTTTCAAATTCCTTTAACATCCAAACATTGCCATCATTATTTACTTTAAATGAACTAGATTGTGATGAAAAAGTTATTTATTATAAAAATAATAAATAATAAATTTTATTATTTCGTTGGGATTGCATAACATCTAATACAATGAATTAACATTGATTTTCGTTTATTATATACCTATATCAATTCTTATTTCATCCAACATTTGTAAAATTTGTAAACTAAACCTCCTTTTGTAATATAAAGTTATTCCAGTTGTTATTTATTACTTGTTGTTGATCAGTTTTTATATTACAGATGTGAATGATTATTATGTGAATTATTTTTGGCAATCCTATACCTTGTGACTGATTGGTAGGTACAATATGTAATGTATATTTCTCCAGTGACATTCTGCTTCCTGTTGTTAAAAAGATGGGAACTGCAATTAGCTGTAATTCAATTTTCATATGCTGCAATTAGTAGCAATTAATTGAAGAGCCAACTGACAAAATTGTTATAGATACTTTTTATTCTCGGAATCTCCTCAATGGCAAATTTTTTGATGCATTCCTGAAAAACATCATGATCTCCTTCAGTCATGCAGTTTAAAGGTTCTGAATTGATATACAGTATTCCAAAACATAATGGATGATCATATCCAAGTTCCTCTATGTGGATATTTTGAATGGCATCAGATATTTTTTCCCATGCACTATAATATTTTATTAGTAAAAACTCTATGCAAGGGATATTACTTATGAAGTGTACACAGATACTTTGGTTACAGTGAGCTTTAAATTAGTCATATTTGATTTTGCATCATTATGCCATGTTATCAAATCAACATTATATTGCCAATGGAGTGATGTTTAGAATTTATCTGAATTGTGACAACTATAATAATGTATTTACATACCAAGACCCAAGTCCTATAAGTGTAGTCATCTCATCAAAAAGCTCTGCTACCTACAATATTAATATATAATTATGCAGATCAGAAAGACTTCTATTTTTCATTTATTTTTCAAATGCCAGCTGGCAAGTAAATATAACTTCAATGGAATTCACATATCATGTGGGCTATTTGTAGATGACCTATGACGGTTTCATGCACTCTTCACTGTAGTCATGGCAAATACGCAGTAGAGAAGCTAAAATATCATGTCAACGTAACAATTACTAAAATGATGCAAACTTGCCCGTCAATTCAAAGCAAATACTAAATTGGAAAAAAGATTTTGTTTCATTTCAAATTTATGTTACATGTAATATATTTTTAGTTCAATGGATATTATATAGAAGGAATGAAATTCTACCGAAAAGTTTGATCGTATTAAATATTCTGTTTACTACATCTAGGTTTAGCTTTTTCTTCAAAATAACCATTTTTTTTATTAAACCAATTTTCAGAAGACACGTCATGTTGAAATTAACGGGTCGGTTGACCAAAGAAGCTCTTTACTGAATTTATTAAAATTACCGTACAGAATCATATAACTTATTTCCTTATTTGTATATTATGTATTATTAATTGCTAGTGATGATTAATAATAATTTATGCAATTCAAGGTAATATAAAGCAAAATATATAACCTAATTTTGTGTTTTATGTGAAATTTTGTGGTAAAAAATCTTAAATTATGCGTGTATTGTTATAGCTATTGATTTTAAAGAATCTTGGGACAAAATTTGTCAGATAATTAATTGTTGCTTGCTTCATATTTGTTTAATGCTTAACACCACCAAAGCACAACTGTCCATTGATTTATTTATATCAACTGATAGACAATATTATTTCCAAAAACACCAGGTATTCTTTCATTTGAGAACGAATTGATACTATTCGAGTTTTTATAATTTTATGGAGTCATTATGAAAAGGAGCCACCCTATTTATTTATATTTTTACGAATTCTACAAACATTTGTGAAATACAGAAAAAAATGGAGAAGTGACTTGGATTTAATTCTATGATTTGTTTTGGCCTTTGCATTTCATTTCTGGAGGAGTTAAAGGATCTGCAAACCAGTAAAAGTTGTGGGACTATGCGTCTTGTATGTGATTTATGTGATACAAGAAGGAATAAAGTTGCGCAGTATTTTTTATTTTAAAGTTTTGAAGCAATTAACTATGCAATTATACAATCATGCGATTATGCAATTATACAATTGTGCAATTATACAATTATACAATTATGCAATTATGCAAATTATGCAATTACGCGATTATGCAATTATGCAAATTTAAATATACATCAATCAACGAAATAATTAAATCGTCACTATTAAACAAAATATTCATTTTGATATACATACATACATACATATATATATATATATTGAGTTTGTTACTAATAACCGTACACTTCAAAAAAACGTAGCATTATATACTTATATCGCGGGTCATGAATTAAAGGACTTTACATCTGTTCAATCACTTTTTTAAGACATTTAAAAAATAATCTCAGCTTTGAAGTAAAAATGTAACGACATTTTGAATAGGTGTAGCTTTATACAACAAACTCATTTCATTATGAAAAAAATTCATTAAGAAGCTTGGATGGTGTAGTATGTTTATTTTGATTTATTAATTTAATAAAATTCGAAAGCTTGATTACACTGAATTCAACGTGTAATATTACAAATTTTTTTTATAACATTTAAATTAAATAAATAGGTTTTTTTGATATTTCATATCTTCTTTATAAAATTTATATTGGAATTGTAGAAATAGTAGATTTATTATTATGAAAAACTATATAATATATAGAAAAAACAATTCAATTATAACTCATTGTATGTTTGCTAGCTTAGGTCCTCATTGGAATTTCAATTATTAAAAAGTAAATACTATATCTTCATTTTCACTAATAGATATATATTTTTTTACATGAGAAACAAAAATTAATGAATAAAACAAATAAAACAATCATTAATAAATAAATACCTTTTAATTTATAATTAATGATTAATTACAGGCATATATCAACTAAAACTTTATGATGTTGAATTTTCTATCTATTTTCTAAAAATAAATAATAAATAAATATGTCCACAACAATTCTTTCTGATCGTATACACCAGATCTAAAAAGAATAAATAGTATAATTGTTATTACAACCAGAATTTTTGATGTTGAATTTTCTAAAAATAAAATATGGTCGCGCAATTCTTTCTGACCATACATCACTAAATATAGTCACATAACAATTCCTTCTGATTTAACCATTAACCTTTGGAAAAAGAAATTTGTGCATTTTCTCCTAGATGAATTGAAATAAATAATATTAGTAATTACATTCTCTCCTAGATAAATAAATATATAAACAAATAATTCTTTTATAATATAGTTATACATTTTTTTCCTATAATATCTATTGCTTACTTTCATAAATAATAGGTTGTAAACTTGGTTCTTTTGATTTCTCTTTTTTAAAAATTTTTTTGCTGAATCATAAAATTCTTGACATGACTGTTAAATTTCTATAAAATAGTTTTTCGTGAACCTCTCTAAAAATTATTAACCAACACCCCATAAAGTAATGACCATATGAAAGTTTAGAGTATTTTATACCTCTTCAATCACTATCAGGTCTTTTAAAGCGATATTGAAAAATAATCTGAGATTTGAAGTGAAAAAGTAACACCATTTTTGAATAGTCGTAGAGTTATATAAAGAAGACCTTTCGATATGAAAGAGTATTCATTAGAAAGCTTTAATGGAGTATTTTCATTTTACTCTAACAACGAAGTTCGAGTTTATTATAAAAATAACCAGATATTTTAAAAAAACTTTATGACACAAATTAGAAATTTTTTATTTAATATATAAAATAATTTGAAAGGACATGTCCGACTGATAATATTATTCGAAATCCGTTTTTCCTAGAGCGCCACCATATAACTCTAATTATTAATTTAATATTAATAAAATAATTATCTGATATATATATATATAATGTAATAATATCGTGTATTTTTGGTAACAGATTGAGTAAATCATTAATTGTGTTATTATTATAATGACACAAAGAAAAAATGAATTAATACATACGGCCGACACATTGCAGATGATATTGTTTCATTGTAATAAGTAAATTAAATGATGATCTTGTTCAATGATAAGTGATCATCCCAATTAATTCTCATATACATGGTTTGATTTTTTTTTAATCATTATTATAATTTTGTTTCTCAATTTGGTTTAGCAATGTTATGAAACTTGTAAACTTTGTGATGTATATTATCAGTGTTGTGCAATTGGAACATTGTAACGCTATTGGAATGTTCCATATAGATCTTCAATTGATATTAACCAATAAAATTCATATATGTGACACTGCAATTGAATTTCATTGGCTAAACCACATTTGGAATGTTCCAATTCCAATTGGAATTTATTAGAATGCACCAATGATTTTTATTGGAGCCATAAATGGCACAACACTGTTTATTATTATTAATTTGGTTATTATTTATTATTAAAAACGTTCTTCTAATATTAATTAAATATTATAAGATAACTAAAATCTTCGTTATTGCTCATCCACGATCTCCTCCAAAAACGGTTTAAACTCAAGGAAACTTTCAATGGTTTCCACATTTGAAAACTAATGATTCTTTATACTTTAAAATTTTTTTTCTATTGTTTCATATTCTTCCATAAAGATTTCTACACAAATAAATATGCAAAGTTAAAAAATTTCATTTTAATCATACTATTTATACTATTTATACTATCTATACTATTTGCACTAGTTATTATTATACTATTTCATTTTACATCTATTTCGTATATATTTCGTCATTTTATAATTGATATAAATAACTAATTTAGTTCAACAGGTTAACGATAAAGATTATCTTATAGTGATGTGTTTCAGAGTATAACATTACATGAATAAGAATTATTGTATATTAGCATATATACGACCACTTTGATCGCATTACAAAAATTAGCGTATCACGATATTTATAATACAAACCAATTCGCACCTTAACAATGGTCAATATTTGATTGTTTTGTTTGGCCTGAGATTATCAGTCAATTGATTCAAATTCTATTATGTTTAACAATTGGAATTTGAATTGCGACATGCACATTCAATAACTTGTTAAAAATAATACTAACCGAATGACGATTATGAAAACATATTTAAAATATTTAAATCGGTGATTCGAAAATATTAAAGTGGTTAAATTAAATGATTCTATTCATTAACCAAATTGGTCTTTATCTCTTTATTCTTTGCCTATTTTTTTTGGCTTGATTAAGATATATAAAAGAGTAAACTTACCAATAACAATAATAACAATAGTAATTAATCGTGAATTTGAACGGGTACTCGGATGGATCAAACCATTTAGTCATACTAAATTAGTATTTAACCCTTTAAACTGCCAACTCTGTGATGTAATATAACTAACTGTTTATAAATAGTCCAATTCTTCCCTTCCCTTAAAAAAAAAACTAAATATTTTCTCAAACATTTAATAATAAATAATACGTCTATTATACATTGCATCTTATTATTATTTTAATTATTATAATAATGAAGAAAAACAGCAGCATCATCAATAAAAATAAAAAACAAAGGGGTCCATACTTCAAAGCATGCACGAATTGCAGTAAATCTCACATAAAATGCTCTGAAGAAAAAACTAGTAGCTGTCGAAATTGTTTGAAAAAAGGCTTGGAATGTTCTAAAAATGTTGTCATTGTTCCATCAAATAATTACGAGGGAAACAATTACGATAATAACCATGACAGTAGAGGTAAAATTTAAATTGTTTTTTAATTTATTTTAAAAAAAGTAATTACGAAAATTTATTCCTTTTACTTTTTCAATGAAAAAAAAAAAATTAGGCGAAAATATCATTCATCAATTTAGTTTGACATCGGGTCTGACTGAATTTATCCCAATACATCAATTTCCTAACATTTCTACCGACCATTTCTACCAAACTTACGATCAACTTATGAATAACTTTATCGGAAACAATTAAGATGGCTCCATCAACAATACCGCCACCGCCATCACCCATAACGTTAAGCATTATATGGTTAATTCATGGGATTTTCTTTATATTGTCTTTATATTAAATTTGTTAATTTTAAAAGTTAATTTATATGATAAGTTTATTTTACATTTTTTTAATAATAATATATTGTTTTTTATAACACACACTACAATTTCCACAAATTCCCATATAAATTTTATAAAGATGATCAAAAAAAACCTATTTATTTAAATGTTATAAAGAAATTTTTGTAATATGATATAATATTATCAGTAACAATAACAAGTAATAAAAAAGAACTTACCAGTCAAAATAATAAAGCAGAAATTTTACTCCAAGATATTTTCGTGAAATTGAGTGCGCGCGTGCTATTAAAATCTATTGACAGGGTTTGTTCAGAAAATTCGTGTAACAAATCGAAAAAAAAAATTAATTAATATTTATTATTTAACAAACATTAGAATAATTCCATTTTTATTGACGTTTTTTGAGTATAATTCTATTGATAACCAAAAATTCCATTTTTGTTAACAAAAAATCATTGATGGTTTCAGGTATAATTCTATTTTTATTAATAAACCAGTTATTTTTATTATATAAACAAACAAACACAGATCATTCTACTCTCAGAGTTATGAGGTAATGATTCCAGATAGACAAGAATTTAAATAGGAAAAAGTTACACATCAACTTTTTGTTTTTATATTACATTAACAAATATAATTTTATTTATTATACTAGAATAATTCCATTTTTGTTGTCATTGATTAAGATGTTTTTTAAAATTCAATATTTCAATATAATCAAATCAATAAAAAATCTAGATAAAAAAAAACAATTTTTTATTCATTTAAAAATGCTTAATAGAATTTAATGATTTTAATAAATGGTCTAGATATTCAAGATTTTAATTTTGAAAAGCATATGAACATTGAACAAATAATAAATAGTTATTCAATATATATATATATATATATATATATACTACCATAAGTATCCGATCACCCAAGTTGTGTAACGTCAAATTAAAAGAGTTCTTACTAAAAAAGTAACGTTTTTTTTAGATAAAACCGTTTTTACTTTACTAAGTAGACTTGTACTTGATATCAAAATCTCTAAATTACAAAAGCTTCGAAAGGTT